ATAAAAGGTTGGCAATTGCTTAATTAATGATGCTGAGAATGTGGCTTTATTGATATATACTGAATTTACTCCCAGCGGGTAGACCTTAGTAGCTAGTATGGAGACCTGGTGATGCTGTATTTCACTTTAAAAGTTATCAAATAACAAATGAAACTTGTCTCGAAAAGATATGTCCAAAACCGCCCTGTTTGGGTGTTTCCGGATTGAACTTACGTTTAATATTCAACAAAATGTAGTATAAAGACACCCCTTTGCTCCTAAGGGATTTGTTAAATGAGAAGTCCCTAAAGTTATTTTACCGGAAGCTAAAATCTGTTCTCTTCTACTTAAATTAATAAACAAACAATTAATGATAGAATTATTAGGGGCCGAGCGTTGTCTGGTGGTTAGTGAGCCTGTACTGTGAATCTGAGGGTTAATGGCTCGCGTCTCGTTGCAACAAAAATAGACTCTGCTCTTTGGGGCCGTGGATGCGTTACAAGAGTAGCAGTTAAATCCATTTAGTTCAAAATTAGAGGTGGTTATGTAGCTATGTGTGGAAATTTTGAAACAATTAGTATCTTGCATAAAATTACAAGTGATAATATTATGGATAATGATTATTAATTATTTTTCGTTTTCTTAGACTACATGTATTAGACTCAAGTTGTTTTTCCGAGATAATTCTGCTGGCCTATACCGTACAGACGTATTCTTCTTGTCTTTCACAACATCTCAAGTAAGTAGGGCTCTCTTGAACGTTGTGTTAACAGCTGAATGACTTTGTGTCGGATATTTCTAAATCTTTACTTATTTTTTCCTATTATCACGTGAGACAGAGTGTTAACAGAGAGTTTTCTAAATTCAAACAAGTATACCACAACAAAATCGGTTGCAGCTATCTAGGTCAACAGACACAGGACAGCATTGATTCTGTTGTTCTAGTTCACAGAAAAAGCACAGTAAAATCAGTTGCATCTATCCAAAAGGACAACAGAAACTGAACAGCGTTGATTCTGTTGTTCTTGTTCACAGAAAAACTCCAGTAAAATCAGTTGCATCTGTCCAGAAGGTCAACAGAAACAGAACAGCATTGATTATGTTATGGTTCACACACACACACAAATTACGGTAAAATCAGTTGCATCTATCTTGAAGGTCAACATAAACAGAACAGCTGTGTGTGTGAACCATAACATAATCAATCACACACACACACAAATTACGGTAAAATCAGTTGCATCTATCTTGAAGGTCAACATAAACAGAAAAGCGTTGATTCTTTGTTCTGATTCACAGAGAACCTTTTCAAGTACACTTAACAGTTATACTGCACTGTAAAAATGTTGGTTTCTTCTAAAATTTGAAATATACATCTGTTAGATCTCATACAAAGCTAATTATGTTATTTGGTTATTTTAAATCTTATTTATAGATTCAGTGAGATATGTTTTATTATTCAATTTCACATTTATTTTCATATGAATAGTTTTCTATCAGTAGTTCAACAGTATTTTATTCTTAAAGTTATGAGTGAAATCTTGTTTTGAATGACCTTATTGTATTAGAGAAGTGAGAATATTTATTTTATTAGAAAGGTGTGTTGTGAGTACTATTGTAACGGGCAGTGCCCTCAGGGGTAATCGTTGGAGCTTCGACTTTACTGCCAATTTCACCAAATTTATCCAATCCAGGAATGCAGGGGCGAGTGGAGCTCACAAGTCACTAACTCGAGGAGATTCACGGTCAGACTAAAGAAGCGGATTCTGAGACTGATATTCAATAAAATACATCAAGTTTATTAAGTTCTTACACATAATATACACATTTTAATAACAACAGTTAAACATTTAATAATACACTAATTCTTAATAATCGAACTTTTACTTTCAGGTTAAACACTATTGAACAATATAACTCACACAGAAAATATTTCTCTCTGTTACAAACATTAACTTCCTTTATATGATTACTTTACTATCTTTTCCAAAACGACATTGATTGAACAAGAGAAATAGCAACTTTACTTATATCAAAGTTGAACTGGTGAACCTTGGTAAATGGGACAACTTCATCATTTTAGGATTCAGAGATTAGTCACTACTAACACTGGATTTGTCCTGGAGAATTTACTAGCCTCCTGGAGATCTGACATGGGTTTTTTTATATTATGTTTTCTCTGTATCCTTTCGATTTTCTAAATAGTATTCCTAACTACCCGCAAGTAGTTATGACACTTCGTTGGCTAATTTCTGCAGCTTATTGGGCGTTTCCAAAACAAAAACCAAAACTCTCAAGTAATTGGTTACTGTGATGGTGAGTGCTTTGGTTGTCTTCTCAGTTGTGCTACTACTCTAGTCTATAGTAACGAATCCTACATCAAAGCTCCGCTTTTAGATACTATTTTACTAGCCTTTACTGTACTGCTAGATTGGCGTCAGTAACTTATCACTGTCAAACTCGTGACTAGTGTTTTTTTTTTCAGTGTCATCACTGTAGCTTCACTTTTATAACTCTTAACTCGTCATTCTCAATACTAACTAACCAGCTAACTATACTTCGCCAAGTTCTTGACCTAATTTCGTAATACAGGCGCCATTACTTACTCATTTCTTCATGTATGTGTTCTACACCTAGAAATCTAAATTTTCTTAGTTTCTTTCTTAAACTCTCTTGACTATAAAAATACTGAAGCAGTTGTAAAATTCACTTTAAAGCACTCAAGTGCTTCATAAGATTCACTTAAAAACACTCAAGTGCTTCATAAGATTCACTTAAAAACACTCAATTGCTTCACTATGAATGATCTTATATGACAGATATGTTGTGAGCACTATGAGTGATCTTATATTATAGGAGAAATGTGCGTCGGTATTATGATTGGTAATGTTTTATGCAATGGGGTGTTGTGAGTATTATGAGTAGTCTAATTTTATTGGAACAGTGTGATGTAAATACTGTTGCGTC